GAGCCACAAGTGGGAATATTTTCATCTTACAAGGTTGAGGGGAAGTAATAGTACATGAGGTAGAGATTAACTTTAGGGAGAGAAGGCTATGTACTTTTAGGCAAAAGATAGAAAAGTATACAGAAGCTACATGACTTCGGGCAGAGGGAGTAAGGACAAAGGACTTTTTTTTCTTTTTGTTGCCTTTAGTAGAGTGCCATGGCATCGTAGCTCACAGCAACCTCAAACTCTTGGGCTCAAGCGATTCTCTTGCCTCAGCCTCCCAAGTAGAGCCTGAGCTGGGAGCCTAGAGAAGCTGGGATGAGGTTTGAACAGGTTAGAACTTCCCACCAGCTGTGACATCTTGAGCAAACAACTTACATCTCTCTATTCCTGTTTTCTCCCCTATAAAGTGGGAATTGGGAGATCAGAGGTGAGGATTCAACCAGATGCTATTCGGTCGAGGACCTCTGGGCAATGCTTGTCATACAGGGGTGCTCGAGGTGGTGGCCACTGATCAGGTCAGCCAGAGGAAAGGTCCTGGTGATCCTCAGCCACCCTTCTCTGTTTTACTGAAGGAGAATTGAGGTTGGAAAAGAGGAAGAGTCTGGCCCAAGGTTCCAAAGCCACTGAGTCATGAAGCCGGGATCTCCTACACCCCAGCTGGGGATACTTTTTATAGTAACTACAACAGCCAGCTCCTCCCCTTAAGAGAGCTGTCCTCCCCCTACTTTTCCCTGTTATTCTTTTCTCTCCCCTGCCTACCCAGTGTCTGTCTCCACCAAGGCCTGCCCTATTTCACTTCTCTGCCAGCAGCATCCTACACCATCTACTGCTCCCTTCTTCTCATGACCTCCCAGCTCTTGGTTGCCATCACCCTTTGCTTGCAGCCTTTCCTCTTAGTGCTGGTTGCCAGGTCCTTCTCTCCCAGCTTTTCAGTGAGATGTTCCACCTGCCTGGACTCTCCTTGCCACCCTGCCCCGGGAGCTCACTGTACTCCAATGCACTCTACCACAGACCTTTGACATCCAAATATGTGTATGTCAGTTGAGATGCTTTTGACTGACTGCAAGTCAAAGAAAACACTTTCTCAACTAATATGAACATTTTTTTTTTTTTTTGAGACAGAGCCTCAAGCTGTCCCCCTGGGTAGAGTGCTATGGCTTCACTGCTCACAGCAACCTCCAACTCCCAGGCTTAAGCGAGTCTCCTGCCTTGGCCTCCCAAGTAGCTGGGACCACAGGCCCACAATAGCCACAATGCCCGGCTATTTTTTTTTGGTTGCAGCCATTGTTGTTTGTCGGGTTCGGGCTGGATTCGAACCCGCCACCTTAGGTGTATGTGGCTGGCGCTTTAGCCACTTGAGCCACAGGCGCAGAGCCAACTAATATGAACATTAAGGAAGATTTATTATCCTGCATGCCAAAAACTCTTAAGGAGGCAGCTCTAGGGCTGCTCATTCAACAACTCAAAGACGTCGTCAGGTTTCTCCATCTTCCTACTGAGCCAGTCTTGGCATGTCAGTCCCATGCTTGATGGTGGCTGTGGCTTCTGCTTCATGCATAGAAAGGACAAGATCCACGGGGAAAGGGCCTGTTTCTTCTTGTCTCTCTGTTTTTTTCTTTTCCGAAACTTTTTTTTTTTTTTTTTGTTAGACAGAGTCTCAAGCTGTCGCCCTGGGTAGAGTGCCATGGCGTCACAGCTCACAGCAACCTCTAACTCTTGGGCTCAAGCAACCCTCTTGCTTTAGTTTTCCTATTTTTGGTAGAGACAGGGTCTCGCTTTTGTTCAGGCTCATCTTGAACATGTGAGCTCAAGCAATCCACCCACCTTGGCCTCCCAGAGTGCTAGGATTACAGGCATGAGCCACCGCACCTGGCCTTCCCAAACTTCTTATTGTGAAAAAGCCACAACATACAGAAAAGTTGAAATAACAGTAATAGCGAACATCCAGACATCCCCATCAATGCTGTTTTGCCACGTCACACTCTTTCTCTCCATGTCCACAGATATATGAATATAAATGTATTGTTTAGATGAACCATTTAGAAATAAATCACAGGCTTGGCGCCTGTGCCTCAAGTGGCTAAGGCGCCAGCCACATACACTTAAGGTGGCAGGTTTGAATCCAGCTGGGACCCACCAAAACAACAATGACGGCCGCAACCAAAAAATAGCTGGGCGCTGTGGCAGGTGCCTGTGGTCCCAGCTACGTGGGAGGCTGAGGCAGGAGACTCGCTTGAGCCCAGGAGTTGGAGGTTGCTGTGAGCTGTGACACAGCCCTCTACCCAGGGGGATAGTTTAAGGCTCTGTCTCAAAAAAAAAAAAAAAGGAATCGAGATATCATGACATTCAACATGCATCTCCTAAGAATAAGCAAATACATAATCACAATGTTATTATCACACCTAAGAATATAAATGATTCCATAATACCCTCTAATATCTATCTCTTTTATACTCAGATCAACCCAGTGTTCCAAAATATCCCTTATAGCAATCCTCCCCACCCTGAACTAGGATCTTCTAGCTGATAGTTATTAGGTTAAATTAATGGCTGCCTTTTTAAAAAATGACGTGGGGCTGGATGAGGTGTCTCACACCTGTAATCCTAGCACTCTGGGAGGCCAAGGCAGAAAGACTGCTTGAAGCCAGGAGATTGAGACCAGCCTGAGCAAGAGTGAGACTCTGTCTCTACTAAAATTAGAAAAGTTATGGCTCGGCGCCTGTAGCACGGTGGTTATGGCTCCAGCCATATGCACCAAGGGTGGTAGGTTCAAGCCCAGCTAGGGCCAGCTAAACAACAATGACAACTGCAACAAAAAATGGCTTGTCATTATGGCAGGCACCTCTAGTCCCAGCTACTTGGGTTGGGAGGCTGAGGCAAGAGAATTGCTTGGGCCCAAGAGTTTGAGGTTGCTGTGAGCTGTGATGCCATGGCATTCCACTGAGGGTGACATAGTGAGACTCTGTCTCAAAAATAAAATAAAATGAAATAAAATTAGAAAATTTAGCTGGGCATGGTGGTGCACGCCTGTAGTCCCAGATACTCGAGAGGCTCGGGCAGGAGAATTGGTCGAGACCAGGAATTTGAGGTTGCAGCAAGCTAGGATGATGCCACTGTGCTCTAGCCAGGGTGACAGAGCAAGACTTCATCTCAAAAGAAAACAGAAATGACAGGGACTTTTACAAGAGTCCTGGGCACTTGTCATAGGCTTGTTCCTCTGTCTGCTGGTTTGCTGCTAACTGGAGGCCAGGTTTTGAAGTTTGATTAGACTGAGAGTGAAATTTTTGACAGTACTTCAGGGTGATGTGGCCCACTTGTTGCACACTTATGTGTATACCTAAGACAAATTACTTATCTGTCCTCTGTGCCTCAGTTTCCTCAAACAGTTCATTTACCTCTTAGTCGTGTTTTGCAGATTACGTGAGTTGATCTATGTGAGTGTTTAGAACAGTCCCTATTATGTAAGTGTCAGCTGCTGTCAGTATCTTTATTTCTACTTCTGGGGATCCCTCTCCCCTATTCACTGACCCTCCCATACCTTAGCCTCAGCTTTAGGTTTGGGCTCTAAAGATTTTGTCTGCTTGGCAGTCTCTGCATTCCATGACTTGGACCCTATGTCCTCCATGACGAGGAAGTTGCAGGACCTGGAGCAGCAGGTGAAGGCCCAGACTGACGAGATGCTGTCCAAGGTGGGGCCCTAGGCTGGAGGGGCCAGTGTCCAGTCTGAGAGGTAGAAGGGCCCTGGGCTGGGAAGGCCAAGGAGGCCAGCAGTTGGACCAAGGCAGGTGGATTCTAGAATCATCTCCCCACCGAACTTCCCTGTTTGAGGGCCAGGTGTGGCCTGGAACTGATTTTAATCCCTGTGACCTGAGCACAATGGCTGGGGAAAGACTTCAGCTGAGCAAGGCCCAGTAGACCTTGGATTGGGCAGAGCAGTGACTTCTGAGTGGAGTGTGGAACTCTCAGACTTGGAACAAAAATTCTGGGTCTTTCTACCTGGAAAGGGCTCTGGGCACTGCCAGGCCTCGTGCTCACCCACATCTTATGTTTCAGGATCAGAAGATATCAGCCTTGGAGGACTTGGTGCAGACCCTCCAGCAGCACCAGGGTAAGAGGCACCCTCTCATCCCACACAAGTACCTCCCCTGGGCCTGTGGCTCCTGGAAGCTTGGATAGTGACTTCCAGCATCAGGGCTCCAAGAGCATCAAGCGGACTCCTTTGTGGAATCTGTACACCTGAACAGAGAGGGGCAGTGACACCTATGGGACAGTGCTGGAGTCACTCACTGCCCTCCTATGTGGGCCTGAGTCCCCTGGGCTTGAGTGTGCCATCTAGAGCATGGAGGCCATGCAGCTCCCCGGGGAGCAATGGCCTCTTGAGTCTGTTAAAGGCAACCCCATGGGGGAGGGGCCAGGGAGATCTGGGAGAGGGAGGCATAAGAGGCAGTTCTTGGGAGATTCCCAGAACAGCTTCTCCAGATGACGCTCAGGGAAAAGCGCTGTCAAGGCCAGAGGTGACCTGGCGGCCTCCGTGCTGGGGCAGCTGAAGCCTGTCCCTGTCTTCCCTGAAGTCGGGGCGGCCCTGCAGCGGCAGGAGGAACTGGAGACGATGTGCATGCAGCTGCAGCGGCAGGTCAGGGAGATGGAGGTGAGAGGGGTGGGGCCCCAGGGACATGGGCAGACGCAGTCCCCAGCTCTGGCAGTCTGCCCCTCAGGAACTAGCCCACCTCTCTGGGCCTTTCCTCATCACATTCTATTTGGGGGCCTTCTCTGTGTTTCCTACCTGGACTACCCAGGATTTAAAGAACCAGGGAGATGTCAGGGCTGGAGCACACTCTTCCTGACTTGTTGGCCTGACTCAAACTCTGAACATGTCCCTCCCCTGCTTGATGAGAGACCTCAGGGTTTCCACTGGGCTGAATTCCAAAGGCCTTGGGTGGCCCCTCTGGGCTACCCCTGCCTGCCTCATTAGTCTCACCTTGAACCTTCTCCCCTCTAGCCACGGGGACCTTTCCTCAGTTCTTTGACCACATCGAGCTCTTTCCCACCTCAGGACCTTGGCCTGTGCTGTTCCCTCTGCTGACGTGTTTTCTCCCACCTTCCCTAGGCAAGTTTTCACTCATCCTTGATCATCTCCTCGGGGCCCTCCCCAACTGCTAATCAGGCTTGTTCTCCATCTTATATCTTTTATTTTTATTTTTTAAATTAGGTTTTAGAGACAGGGTCTCACTCTGTCATCCAGGCTGGAGTATAGTGGCCTGATCTGGCTCACTGTAGTCTGGAACTCCTGAGTTCAGGTGATCCTCTCACCTTAGCCTCCTGAGTAGCTAGGACTACAGGCACAAGCCACCATGCCCAGCTAATTTTTTTTTATTTTTTGTAGAGATGGGGTCTCACTGTGTTGTCCAGGCCGGTCTCAAACTCCTAGCTTCAAACGATCCTCCTTTCTCAGCCTCTAGAAGTGCTGGTATTATAGGCATGAGCCACTGTGCCTTGCATTGTCCTATGCTTTCTTAGTACTGTGTTTCTTGTCCCCTGTGGGACTATGAACTCCATGAAGGAGGGAGCCCTTTCCTCCTATTTGTCAACTGTGTACCTAGGACCTAGTACTGAATTGATCAGGGTCATCCTCTGCCTCTGGCAGAGTCACTCACCTGCTGACTCAATTACCCCAGTCACCTCTTTTCTTTTCACTCATACACTCATTTGAACAGCAAGGCTTAAACTAGAGAGACACTAGGCACAAAGAAAGGTCCCAGGCAGGTGTCCTCAGGGCTCCTCACCCCTCCACTGGCCCTGCCAGAAGTTCTTCCTGGGACCCAGCCTCTTCCTGTCTCTACACAGAGTTGGTTTCCAAAGCCTTAACCTAGTTTAAGACCACAGAAGCAAACCCCAAGCCTCCACTGCAGCTGAGAGCCCTTCCCACCCCAGTCCCATTCACACCTAGGGCTGCAAGACACATAGCTGTCCCCAAGCAGCTGCTTAAGTGGGGTGAGGGCTGTACCCTAGAGCCTCAGGACAGAGGGCAGGGCTGGCTCACGCACAGCAGCCACTCATTTCTTGGGTCATTGATTTCACAGTACATATGGAGTATCTGCTGTGTGTCAGGCTCGGCCAGGCACTAGGTTAGGGTGGAACAAGGCAGACCTCTGGGGGCTGACAGTCTGGAAGAGGAGAGAGACCCAAAGAGTGTACAGATAGATAAGTATGGAGAGGGCTATGAGATAATTAAACAGGTGACATGATAGAGATTAGTTGGGGGACAAGCTACTGTGGAGGTGACATTGGCTATGAGATCTAGAGAGTAAAGAGGAGACTGGGGGAGAGGATCCAGGCCAAGGAGAGGAAAGGCACCACCTCCCACTGCAGAGATGTGACTGGTAGTGTGTGGCTGTGGGGAACAAGGAGAATGAGAAGAGACAGGAGAGGCCAGCAGGGGCCATATCACATGGGAGCCATCCATGGTGCCCATGGGTTCTGCCTTGGAAAGCAGGAAACCTCAGAAGGTTTCAGTTAGAAGAGCAGTGTGACAGGACTCTGTGATGTGGAAAATAGGTAGTGGGGTACAGAGTGAGTGGGGGAGGAGAGAGAGGCAGCCTTTGATTGTCTAAGAGGGAGACGGCGGTGACTTGAGACAGAGCTGTGTGCCCAGACATCAGGCAGTGCGGTGGGGGCACCCATGGGCCTTGCAGTCATTAGGAGGGACACAGTAGAGAGAGGAGAATGGGTCCTGGAAGGTTCCCAGGCAGAAGGGGTGCTATTTACTGAGACAAGTCCTAGAGAGGAAGAGGCTTGGGAGGCGGGACAAGTTGTTTTTGAGACACCATTAGACTTCTGCGTGTAGATGGTGGGAAATGTGAGTCTGGTGCTGGGAGGGGTGAGATCTGCCTTAGATGCAAATTTGAGTTCTGTCCGTATGTATGTGGGAGTAGATGGGAACCATAAGGGGAGAGGGAAGATGGAGCTGGGCTCTGGGACCTCCACTTATCGGTATTGGATAGGAATGGGAAGCCAGCAAGAAAACTGTAATCACATAAATAAGTTAAAAAACAAAGACCATATGATTCTCTCAATTGATGCAGAAAAAGCTTTTGATAATATCCAGCACCCCTTCATGATCAGAACACTTAAGAAAAGGGACATTTCTTAAAATGATAGAGGCCATCTACAGCAAACCTATAGCCAATATCATATGGAATGGAGTTAAATTGAAATCATTTCCACTCAGATCAGGAACCAGGCAAGGTTGCCCACTGTCTCCACTGCTCTTTAACATTGTAATGGAAGTTTTAGCCATCGCAATTAGGGAAGAAAAGGTGATCAAGGGTATCCATATAGGGTCAGAAGAGATCAAACTTTCACTCTTCCCAGATGATATGATTGTATATCTGGAAAACACCAGGGATTCTACTGCAAAACTCTTACAAGTGATCAAGGAATATAGCAGTGTCTCAGGCTACAAAATCAACACTCATAAATCGGTAGCCTTCATATATACCAACAATGGTCAAGCTGAAAAAACAGTCAAGGACTCTATTCCGTTCACAGAGTGCCAAAGAAGAGGAAATATTTGAGAGTTTATCTAACAAAGGATGTGAAAGATCTCTATAAAGAGAACTGTGAAACTCTAAGAAATGAAATAGCTGAAAATGTCAACAAATGGAAAAACATACCATGCTCATGGCTGGGGAAGAATCAACATTGTTAAAATGTCCATACTACCCAAAGCAATATATAATTTTAATGTAATCCCTATTAAAGCCCCACTGTCATACTTTAAAGATCTTGAAAAAATAATACTTCATTTTTTATGGAATCAGAAAAAACCTCAAATAGCCAAGATGTTACTCAGAAATAAAAACAAAGCAGGAGAAATCATGCTACCAGACCTCAGACTATATTATGAATCGATAGTGATCAAAACAGCATGGTACTGGCACAAAAACAGAGAGGTAGATGCATGGAACAGAATAGAGAACCAAGTGATGAACCCAGCTACTTACCATTATCTGATCTTTGACAAGCCAATTAAAAACACTGAGTGGGGAAAATATTCCCTATTTAACAAATGGTGCTGGGTGAACTGGCTGGCGACCTGTAGAAGATTGAAACTGGACCTACACCTTTCACCATTAACTAAGATAGACTTTCACTGGATTAAAGATTTAAATTTAAGACTTGAAACTAGGGTGGCACCTGTGGCTCAAAGGAGTAGGGCGCTGACCCCACCCATGTGCCGAAGGTGGGTTCAAGCCCAGCCCTGGCCAAAAATGCAAAAAAAAAAAAAAAAAAAAAAAACCTCTTTAAAGACGTGAAACTATTAGAAGTTTAGAAAGTATTAGAAGAAAGTATAGGGAAAACACTTGAAAAAATTGGCCTGGGCAAAAATTTTATGAGGAGGACCCCTCAGGCAATCGAAGCAACATCAAAAATACACTACTGGGACCTGATCAAACTAAAAAGCTTCTGCACAGCCAAGAACACAGTAAGTAAAGCAAGCAGACAGCCCTCAAAATGGGAGAAGATATTTGCAGGTTATGTCTCTGACAAAGGTTTAATAACCAGAATCCACAGAAAACTCAAGTGTATTAGCAAGAAAAGAACAAGTGATCCCATCTCAGGGTGGGCAAGGGACTGGAAGAGAAACTTCTCTGAAGAAGACAGGCTCATGGCCTACAGACATATGAAAAAATGCTCATTATCTATCATTAATCATCAGAGAAATGCAAATCAAAACTACTTTGAGATATCATCTAACTCCAGTAAGATTAGCCCACATCATAAAATCCCCAAACCAGAGATGCTGGCATGAATGTGGAGAAAGGGGAGCACTTCTATGCTGCTGGTGGGAATGCAAACTAATACATCCCTTTTGGAAAGATGTTTGGAGAACACTTAGAGAACTAAAAGTAG